GAAATGGTAAATATGATGCACAGTGTCCCATTACAAGAAAGTGCAATAACTGGGGAAAAAAGTATTTCTAACTGAAAGGAACTCTTCAGATTAGAGTGTTGGAGAACTTAGACATGGTGCTTGGACAGAAGTTCACTGCCTGGCTTTTCAAAAGCCCTGAAACTGGTCTTGCAGCCATATTTCCTTCTAAGCACATTATTTACCTGCAGAAGATCTTTGTTGCTGAACTGGATCAGCTATACAGTGTCCCAGGTGAAGGAAAAATCAGATACACCTGGTAATTTGAAGCTCCCTTGTGAACACAGGACAGCACCTTGAGCTCCAGCTATGTCTATCAAGTATCTGACCTAGCAGGAATATCACATAAGCAATGTATGTCTAAAGTCAGGAAACCATCAATACTTTCCTAAAACACTCAGTTCCTCTACTGCAAGGAGAAATGGGATTTATAGTCTGGCAAACACAGGCTGAATTCAACAAGTCTATGAGAAAATGGCCCAGCTTCCAGGTGCTCCCGGGAACTTCCACTTCATGACCAACAAGCTTCCCAGCCTACTATATACTCTTCAAAATTATCCAGCTGTCATATGCACAATTACATTGGAGCAGGATGGAACATTCTAGATGGCTGCCATGCATTAAGTACATGTAATGAATGAATTCTCATTCCAGTTGGTCTCCATTCCACTGACTCAAGCATAATTTCTCAGAGATTCTATAAATGAATCAAATTAAATTTCTCCTTAAACTGTCGGTGGGAGGCAGCACCTCTTGCTCCTTCTCCCTATTCAGGATGCACTTTTGAAAGTTTGAATACAGTCCACAGAAAACACACCCAACTATTTTTAAATAACATTGTAAAATGTACAAAACAGAACTGATTATCAAAGACTGCCCACCTGCAGCAGTGTATCACTCTTTTATTACACACACATACACTAATGTACAGACGCTCAAGTCATTTTGCTGACCTAGCTCTTCATGCTTATGAAGTGTAGAATATATGTCTTGGCACATAATAGCCTATGATCTTTTTAGTGGAAACCAGAGACCACAATTTCCAGCCCCAACTATTAAACTCAGCAAACTGGCATACTGTAAAAATAAAATTATTTAAAAAAAAGAAAAGCCTTGCGGTTTTAGGTTAGCTTCACTGTATTAACCACCATCGTAAGAGCAAGACAAGAGCAAACAGAAGTCTCATGTTCATCAACAGACTGTAATTTTAAATTTGATACTGTAAGTGTATCATTATCTTACTGGTGTCCCACGATCTCCTGGTTTTCCTGGTTTTCCACTTGGGCCAGCAACTCCTGGAACTCCTGGGGCACCCTGCAGCAGAAGACATGTAAAACTAACTGGAAATTCACAACAATCTAAGTGCTAATAAGAAATATGCTTTTGTAAGTCCAAAGCAATACTGTATATGGTTCTTATTAGGGTTTTTTTCTGTTAGATACATATCAGGCTCAGAAACTTTCTTATGGAAAAAATAGTTTGCTTCTCCATGGAAATGTGTCCTTTCACGCAACACAGCAGTTTAAGAGGCATTTCTGAACCTAAAGATGCAGAGATTGTCTATATGTTTTTAGTATTACTCTTAACAACAGATTCCTAAAGGAGTACACAACAGTTGGGCCTCCTAAATTGATCAAACAGGTCTGTGATCCATGTGAAAGTCCACAACAAGAAGCTCATAAAAGCCATTCTAGTGGATACTAGATAAATAAGAACAAATAAAAGACCAATATTAAGTTATCTGATAAAAGTTCATCTGCATACTCACAAAGCAGCACAAGACAATCATGGGGGAGCGGGAGCAGCCCAAATAATACTCTACCCTAGAGATTCCTGTCTATATATGTGATGCAAATGTGTGCTCTGTGTGTGCATGCCTACTGGGAATACATCTTCCAGTTTGCTACTAGTTGGACATGGTAACATGGAGTTGCAGCAATTTGCCTATCTCAGGCTCTCTGATCCAGCATAATATGTTTTTTTCTAACAGCCAAGTTCTTTCCTAGCATGGTCCCGCAAAACACAATGAAGCAGCTTTTTAAGCAAAACCCAGTTCCCAAATATTCTTGTCAAGAAAAGCCTGTATTAACAGCATCTGGTTTTACCATTCTACAAGTAAGAAGCTGACTGGTTTCAGTAGACCTAGATATGCACTTAAAGATCATGGCTAAAGAACCAGGTAAACTGGTCCTTCCCTTATTTACACTGGCAGAAATCAGTTGCAAAATGACTCCTCTGAATGTTTGTGAATACATGCTTTACACAGCTGTCTGCTCATGTGAGAGTTTCCCAGATCCATTTAGGATATTAAACAAAGGATCTATTTCACATTTGACAGAAATTGGAAATGTCAATGTGGCTCTCTCTTGGCTCAGGTCTGTTAATTCAGAGTGTATCAAAGACAAAATTATATTTACCGCTGGTCCTGGTGGGCCTCTGGGACCTGTGGGACCATCTTTTCCTGTGAAACCCTAGTCAAAAACAAAAGCATGATTAGAGGTTAATTTAAGATAGTAACCTGATTAAAATAGCTTTTAAGATTGTGTAATTGTAGTACTGATTACTACTAACATGTATTTTAAAACCTATCCACAACGTAAGTGATTAAATAGCTGTCACAACTAGCTCCGGAGAAGGCTATGGAACAATGAGCTTCAATAAGTGATTAAATAGCTGTCACAACTAACTCTGGAGAAGGCTATGGAACAATGAGCTTCAGCCAATTTAGATGTTCAGCTGCTGTTGATTAACTGAAGATGAAGTCAATCTCTCTTAGCATTTTTAAGAATAGTAATCATTCTATCCCAAAGGAGGAAGATGTCCCTTTTTGCTTTATTCTCAGTCACAGATTAGCTGAAAAATCAAAAGTTTGTACTTAAATGAAGAATGACCTCTCTTCCAGATATTTCCCCTGCAAGAAGATATGCTGAGAAATCCCATTTCAATAATCTAAGATAGCATTCACAAATTAATGTTGATGATCCATGACCCACCAATCCAATGGCATGTTCTTTGGCAACTGGCTATCACATGGTTGTCTATTTTCATTTCCATCTATCAAGTCCCACTGAAGGATAATGATAAATGCACATATCAACAATTAATTCTGACTGTAAAGTCATTGCTTCAGTCATCTCAAAGGATTGGCTGTAAAGTCAAGTCATTGCTTCAGTCATCTCAAAGGAGATATTCCACTGTGATGACAAAAGAGATTGACATAGTTGACCCCAATTAAAAGAGAGGAATTGTAACAACTCCACAATGAAATACCTGTGTGCATTCCCTTCATTGTGAAGCCTTTTCAGAATCCTCCATCCAAAAGAGTCATGAAGACTTTTCAGAATCCTCCATCCAAAAGAGTTCTTAGACCCAGACAAAGATTTAGGAGCAAACCTGACCTTCACAGAAAGGTTGGCATAGACAGATTCTTTACCGGTATGACATCTCCCAGACACTGAGATAAGCAGAGTTTCAAGGAGATCCCCTGTGCAGCAACAGTGTGTGGGTGACAGCAGGGCTGAGTGCCTCAGCAGAACCCTGCTCAGAGGACATGCTGCTCTCTGCATGTAGGAATCTGAGAATGTTGTCAGGACGGGGAGCAGCACAACTTTTACAGAACCTATCTCACTACCCTATAGCTATCTGGGTAGGTTTTCACCCCTTAAGTTCCTCCAAAACTTCTACTTTTGTCTCTCCAGCCTGAATACTGATAAAAGGATTCCTTTTGCAAAAGTATTTAAAAAGAAAGATATATAAAGAAGGGAAAAAACCCAAACATAAACCTCCACATTACTTGGTCTATTCAAAATGTAAACTGAGGAAACTTTACCCTTTCTCCTGGAGGTCCCACTGGGCCAGGTGGACCAGGTAAACCTGGGGTTCCCTAGAGGGAAAAAGAATGAGAAACTGTATGCATAACAGAACAAACATCACTGCTATGCTAACCATCCCATGTATCTCCCCATTCAAATATTTAACTGTCTTCAATGTTGCTTTTGGCATTTACAAAAATAAAACAAACCATTTATTTCATATACATGATACACAGTCTTCACCCTCAGTCTACATTTTACTTCCATTTCCTTACCAGCTCATAATTCAACTTAAAAATAATTTCCAGTACTGTTCTCATGAAACAGATGTAACTGGTTTATTGCCCTTAGAAGGGCAGATGTCAGCTGACATAAAATGACTTACAGATGTCAGCTAATCCTTTAACACCTGGTACTGAAGCCTAGCTGCAGTAATTGATCAGAGTGTATCTAAAGAAACAAAAATTAGAATCTTCTTTATTATTCTTCTGCCCCACCATTTTTCTATTTTTTAATATTCTGCTGCTTTACTGTGCACATTATGAATTCTCTGGTTTTGTGCCTTGTAGCTTCTGGGTAAAGAATAAACCCTAACATTAAACAGGCAGGCTACATTAGAGGATATTCTGGAATAATTTCATTCAGCACTCTGTAGGATCAGTACTACTGTTGCTGGGACTGAATATTAAACATCCTTGTATCATGTTGTCATGTTCTTTCCCCTTTTTGGTCTAATCCCACTGTACACTAATATGTAGCATTGCTTTCTACAAAATATTATTACTCCCTAAACATGTACTCAAGGTTAAAAGGGTTAATAAAACAGGTAAAGAATATAAGGTCCTTGTTCCATTACTGACCTTATTTGATATATAGGAATAAATCCACAACAATATTTATGCAGCCCCCATATAGTCTTTATATTCCCAGTAAAATCAAAGACAATATTGTGACCGAGATAGTTATGTCACCACATGTGCCAGTCAATGACCTTAGATTGCCTAAGTTTGGCTGATTGTCTATATTAACCCTTTATTTTTCTCCTCAAAACCTAATCCTAGCTTACTACATATAAACATGCAAGTGAAATTGAATATGGTTTTCTTCTTTCAGAAAGCATACAACTAATGTCCCAAGACCATTTGAATTCCAAAAGTAAAAACTAATTAGGCAACATTACTGAAGAAGGATTCAGCAAAGGTTCTGTAAACTTTATTTTAGGAAGACATTTAACTGCAGGTGTTCAGAAGTTAACAGACCTTCCTGAGGTGTTATCAGTGTATTCTTCCTAATCCAATGGTCTGTCCTTGTGCATTCACAACTATCCAGATGAACATTTGGCTTGACTCAGTGCAGCTGTTCTTTCACTCTTGCTGTTTGGAATGGTTTACTATTTCCTACATTTCAAATTCCTAAGTGTAAGATAATTATGTTTCCAAAACTATTGATTAGAAAGGTATGAGAAGAGCTCATGACTCCTAGTGATGTCACAGACAGCTGTAACACAGCCAACCCACACCAGGAATAGTGTAAAATGGCATTATCTGTCTAAGTGTCGACTTACCGATCGCCCTGGTAGTCCAGGCTGGCCAGCATCACCTTTCATTCCTTGACGACCCTGTAATTTTCATGAATTATTCTAAGACATTCTGAATTACAAAACACATCAGCAAAATCATTCATTCGTGTAGATGGACATAAAATGTTTCCTTCAAGATACCTAGATAAACGAATCCATAAGCCAACTATGTATTATGGAATAAATCAAGATTCATACACTTCTTAACTGAAACAATACTGATCATCTCACAAACATTTGCAGCTGTAGGATGATTGGTTGACATGACATTAAAAACATAGGCAGGCAGACATTGGAAGGGGGTACATATTTTGATATGAAAGCAACATGGACTTTTCAGGAAGACAGACTGATATCATGTCCTCACAAGCAGGAAAGCAGTAAAGGGTTGCATGTTTTCATCCAACCTCCCTTGTCTTTCTCAACTGGTGAATGAGCTGTCTAGTCATGAAAGATAAAAGCTCAGCCTTTTTAAAGTATCACTATTTTTCTCTAAACCTTGGTCTAAAAAGCATTACACACTTCCAGGTCACAAGGTGTAGGAGCATATCAAGAAGCAATACACTGCCTTTCACACCTAGCTTGCATTCCATATACACTGCAGCACTGCAGTATATATATAAGTGTACAGTCTAAACACACATGAGCTAAATTTGGCAATACAGTATTTATTTTTACTGCAGCTTGTATGATAATCCAGCACATTTTGTATTCCATTTCCCAAATGACATTACAGGTGGAACAGGTAACATATTTTCAAGTGTAAAATGAAACAGCATGAAGGCACCAATTCTGTTTTCCAAAAACTTCATACTTTGAACAAAGACTTCATACAAAAAGCTCCTGAATATATTAAAATTCAGGCTAATCCTAAATAGGAAGCATCAAAATTGCATTTCTGCTTTTTGGGTGACTATTTATTAAAATACAGCAAAAGTAGTCTTAATGGATTCGCAAGGTAGACTGAGGGTTATGTATGCTATCTGCTATTAAAAAAATGGAATATGGTGAAACTTCCTCAGTCTTAATAAGAGTTACTCTGGCTTTGAAGGCATGTACATGAAATCAGAAGTAACATCTTGCTAAAGAATGCATGATGTTGCCAAGAAAACCCCCTAGGAATGAAGGGCTGTTCTGTATGACTGGATCTCAGCAACCATTGCCTCTCTGAACTTGCAGCTACTGCCTTAAGCCATAAAATAGAAGTTGAACATGTAAATCTGTGAGAAAGTCTTCAGAGTAATATTGCATGCTTAATTTTACTGCGCCACAGTTTGAAAGTTTTGAGTCCTATAACTGGAATGCCTAGCAACTCTACAGAAAAGCCATTAGACTGAAAACAGAGTAGCACAACATACATTACAGCACTCAGACTCTGTCCCTTCACTGGTATCCCACAAACACATGTAACATTTGGGAGAGAAAATGCTATTGCATTAAGATACTTGTTTCAGAAAAAGACTTGCTTAATAATACTATTGTGTTGCAGGGACAAATGAATGTTCATGCAAAGCTGCCACCCTCTTCCCAGGGAAACCATCCCCAGGGACAGCTCTGGCTCCACACACATTGCCACCTGCACTCACAGTGGCTACTCACCGGTTCACCTGGAATTGACAGCCCATTGGGACCCTGAGGACCTGGGGGACCTTGAGGGCCAGGAGGACCTGTCTCACCACGAGGACCAGGAGGCCCCTTAAAGCAGAAAATTAAAACAAAATTGTAAATTACACTCTCTTCTGAGATCTCTAACTGCAAAATCCCTTGGGTTAGACACTTAAAATAAGCGAGAAGCCTGGAGACACGTTTAGTACTACAGAACAACTGTGGAAGCAGTTGGTCAAGTGGCATACCCTTTCATTAACTATTCTCTGACTCATGTTGGCAGTCTCAGGCCAATACATGCTCTCTGGTAGTGTTAATTAGAAGTATAGCCATCTCTTCTGTACAGAAGGGAGAAGAATAATGCTGCAGAGTGTGTATTAACACCCTGACATATGCAATTCCAGTATCATGATGTGCAGACAATGACTTTGAGGCCATATAGATTGTGTATATATAGTCTCAAATAGGTAGGCTGCACATAAATGACATAAAGGCATATTTTCAAGTAAATTTTCATCTCCATTCTTATTTCAGCATAAAGCTAAGCATATGAATTTTCATACAGTTAAGCATGTAGCAACGTTATTATAGATGCATTTCAAGAAAGATACTTACAGATGATCCAGTCAAACCTCTTTCACCTCTGGGACCTTTAGCACCTGGGCCACCCTAAATTGAGTATATTGGAAAGAAAATGTATATCATACACAGAAAGCAAAGGTACATAATACAGGTATACATTATGAATCCTCTCTAACAAACTCTTATGTGAAACCCAAAAGTTTTGAAGTGTACAGATCACACTGCTAAAAAGCGTACTAGAATAAAAGATTCACCAGAAATCAGGTAAACTACATTAGCTTCAGCCTTGCCAATTCAGACCATGAAAAATTAGTGTGATTTTTGTCTCTGCAAATATAAACTTCTTCAATTTATATTAATTGAAATCTCTGGATACCTCTCTAGTAGACTAGCAGACAACTTAACTGGGCTTCAAATTTTTCATGCAGCATTTTTGATAGCTTCAAAGCAGAAGAACTTCTGGGCTGAGGATAACTCCCTTATATTCAAAGCAATTAATAGGAGCATATTCTTTCCATAGATTACTATCTCTCCCCATGAAAAATAAAGTGAGCAACTAATTTATTTCCCTGACAGAGTAAAGAATCTTTCCTTGGAGTGAAATCCTGAACTCTGTATTCAGGAAAAATATTTGCACAGTCCATTAAAAATATCTTGTACATGATGTGCAAGACAGCTGAGACTGGGCTTTCAACCTATCAAACAATGAGGAGCCATTCACAGTGACCACATTGGAAAGATGGGAAAAGCACTATTATATAAACAAGTAGAGGTGGCAGGAGCTGCCTGTGTTTTAAATTAAGATGAAAAGGAGACAGATTACCGTGATGTGATGGATGTGTTGAGAGAAACTATGTCTGACTGACCTTTGTTTCACAAAACCACAGATCAACACAAATCTACTTCCATAAATTTAAAAATCAGAAACTCTATTTTCAAATATTGCAGATAGTTACAGCTGGTAACTTACAGCTGGTCCAGGAGGTCCTGGAGGTCCCACACTGTCTTGAGTACAGGTACAGGCGTTTGGAAGAGCTGGGCATTTTGCTTCATCTCTCTGAAAATTCAATCACAACTATTACTGTCCTTTTTAAGAAAAGCATTCAGCAGCAGCATGCTTTTCTAAAAAAAAAAAGCAGGCAGATTCCCTATTATCCTGTTGACAAGTAAAAATAAAACTCACAGCTAAGCAGTGGTTTCCAAATGTTTCTAGAGGACTGTTTATATTTTTAGCAAATTTTCTCTGTGAACTATACAAGGCAAATTCAATCACAACTATTACTGTCCTTTTTAAGAAAAGCATTCAGCAGCAGCATGCTTTTCTAAAAAAAAAAAGCAGGCAGATTCCCTATTATCCTGTTGACAAGTAAAAATAAAACTCACAGCTAAGCAGTGGTTTCCAAATGTTTCTAGAGGACTGTTTATATTTTTAGCAAATTTTCTCTGTGAACTATACAAGGCATAACAACAGCTTCTAGAGGACTTTTTATATTTTTAGAAAATTTTCTCTGTGAACTATACAAGGCATAACAACAGAGGCACAAGCAAAATCAAATGCATATGCAGTTTCTGTTCTAATATTTACATGAATTAGACAAGCAGTTTGCACTGACAAAGAATAAACTAGTTACTTTTCGAATGTCAATCTAAGAACAGATTAAATAAAAACACCTATTCCCTTCATAATACCTAGAATGTGAAATATCATCGAAATACAAAATGTAACTGACATTTTTCCATCATTCCTAAAAGACACAGTTCTAGCATTACAACCTTTCTCCCTCAGACACAAGACTTTGAAATGCAGTGTTGTTCACTGGCTGCTCTGACAATTGTGATTTAGATGAGTTGTCAGAGAAGATGCAATACCAGGCTAGTATTGATATTGTTAAATTTGACTATTAATAGCATTTTTATGAATAGCCTCTAGTTCATTTATACTTACCATAGAAGGAAGATCACAGCATCTGTCTCTGCTAGTCCAAACTGGACTGCATACAATGTCAAAATTCTGGATTTCTAACTGTAAAAGAAAGGAATACTCCTGAAAGATCGTAGAGATGTTAATTATGCAATCTAGTGACATTATAATTTAAAATTATTCCTCGATTTATTTATAATGAAGTTAACATCATTCAAACTTTCATTTCTTTTGACGCTGACAGAAAAATTATTTTAAAACACTAAAAAAATTAAAACCAAGCCTACATAATTTTCATTTCTTTTGACGCTGACAGATTGTTTTAAAACAATAAAAAAATTAAAACCAAGCCTACATAATCCTAGAAGAACTTCAAACAGTGATGCTTGCTCTTGTTCTGGGGCAGAAGGTGATAAAATAATGTGACTCAAGAAATATTTTGCAACACCAATGAATTTCGACCTCAGTTGAGTGCCTGTACACTTCGATGTGAAATTTGATTGAAAAAAAATTGGACCAGCTATTTGACCTCAGTTGAGTGCCTGTACACTTTGATGTGAAATCTGATTGAAAAAAAATTGGACCAGCTATTAGGACTGCCAATCTTGGCTCATACATTAGTTCAGATTCATGAACAGAACTTTCCACTGATATTAGCAGAGAAAAGTTTTGCAGAAAGGCTGAAATGGATTCAGATTCATGAACAGAAATTTCCACTGATATTAGCAGGGAAAAGTTTTGCAGAAAGGCTGAAATGGGGATCTTATGGAGACTGTAGGGTAATAGCAGTTTCCTCTCTTCTTCACACCAAGAGCTATGATCCTGTAGTTTAATACATACAATCAAATATTTGAAGGTGGATCTTCATCACATGTTAGGGTTTGCATATATGGGTCAGATTGCAGACTTAAATCTTCTAATATGAAGCCTAGGTAATAGCATTGATTACATATTAAGTATAGTTAATCCATCAGGATAACTGCTGTGCCCTTCATAGCAGCAGCCACTTTTTCACTACAGGTTTATAGATCATAAAGGCAGTGGGGAATCCTCTGATCCCCCAGTAGAAGACACACCACAGGACACACCAGAATTAAAATCTGTTAATTAAAGAATATCTTTTAGGTGAAAAAAATAGTCCTCATTTAAAAATCTTCATTATGACAGTAAATGCATTCAATAACTAACTGCTCTATTACAAGAAAAATATTCCTGCTCTTGTTTGAATTTACTACAACTTTCAGCTATTAGATTTTTGTTCTTTCAATTCTGATAGAATGAAAGCTATCAAGACCAAATTTCTCAGTGAAGCATATTAGGTCTTACAGTACAGACACTTGAAAGTTTTGGGTGCAACACTGTTTTTTTATCGATCCTTAATCTCTAATCTCTTTCCTCAGAAAATTTCAAGGGCTTGCATTAATGAATGGATTCATATTTATTGCTTACTGTTGCTGATTTTCGGTCGCCTTTTAGAAGTTTCCCAAGTATTTCATAGCCATCAGTTGTGATGTTCCCAGCCTCCTTAATTGGTTTTTCCACTATTTCACTGCAGTCAATATAAATCTTAACATTTGATGAAGTTACAACAATATGGACCTGAAAAAAAGTTGAATGTAATATTTAGAAGAGGCACACAGGCATAATTACCTTAACACTTTTACAGTATTTCACTGCTTTAAATTTTCTTCCTAGTAATTCTGCTTTACTTTCAACCGGTGGAAAAATTCAAACTCCAGGAAAGTCTATGACATTAATAACCTCTTTAGAATGTGTTGAAGGTCAAGATGAATACACAAGCACAGTTAGGAAATACTATTTAATGTAATAGTTGAACTATAATTATCTATTAAAAAAGCTTGACTGAAAATTGCTTTAAGATTCATAAAAGTAAAAATACAAAAGAATTTTTGAGAGAAAGTGAATATAAGCACTTCTTGTGCTCTTCTGATGGCTCAGACCACACAAGAGGTTTATGAGTTTGTGACTACCCACTGGCTAATAGAATCTGTCTGTAGTTCAGAGAGTAGATTGTTTCAGATCCAAAGATCCAGGGTTCAGTTTCCACAGATGACTCAACCAAAGGCATTAGCTGCATTGAGATACAGGAAGTGACCAGAGAAGCCTGCCCAGAACAAGACAAAGTAATGGAAGATGCAAGAGAGAAATTTCCATGAGAGAAATCTGGCTACAAAAACATATGCCAAAATAAGGGGAAACAGGGAAGAAGAGGAAGAGATTAATTACAGGAAATAGGGGATATTTAGGAGGTGTAAAGAAATGACTGCAATAAAGAGAGTATGTTCACCAGGAGAAGAGAATGAAGTGCTTGAAGGAAACACAGTAGGCTTTAAACATAGGAACAAACAAAATTAAGCAAAGATTATCCTTAAAAAAAATTATAGTACATATGGCAAATGTGAATTTTCTGAGTTTCTGTGAAAACAGAAAACATTCAGGAGTCTCCAGGAAACAAACAAGGGTCTGACATTTTGGTACTTTTAATGTGCAGTTGCTGGAAGAGCATCTTAAGGTAAAAGAAAGTTTTCAGTGACTTTATATATCTTAAATACTGAATATCTTTTATATACATCATTGCAACATCTGTGTAAGTGTTAAAATACCAGTGTTAAGACCAGTGACACAGAATGACTGGTGTATCTATGTTTTAAAGCTTCTGTTAACACAGTACATAACCCTTCAGAAATATACAGCTATTTGATGACTGCTCAAAAAAATTGGCAGAAAGTTGAAGGAAAGATTTCCTTAAATGTCCTGAGTCAACAAGTGCCTGAACAATCTCCTGAGAATTTGGGTTTTTTTCCCTATTAAATATTTTCCCAAGCGGAGCTGTCTCCAAGGCATCAGCATAACTTATCTAAAACTTTTTCATAATTATGTGCTTATGCTTTGTATCTCAGTGCTGTATATACAAGTGGAGTTTTTTAATTCAAATTCCTGACAATGTTCATTGAGCAAATAATAAAAATAGTGGAAAGATAACTGAGTGTTTCTAAAGTATGATTTGGTATTACTTGCCAAACATTCCATAAAATAAAATAAGCACCATGCCAAAACTTGAAGTTCATTATCATCTATACATCATGGAATCATCCAGGTTGGAGGAGACCTCTAAGATCATCTCATCTGCCACTCTGCTGGAAACCCTAAACCATATCCTCCAGTGCCAGATCCAGATGCTTCTTAAACACTTCCAGGCATGGTGACTCCACCACCTCCCTGAGCAACCTATTCCAGTGCCTGAACACCCTAACAGGGGGAAAAAAAATTCCTAATATCTAACCTGAATCTCCCCAGTCTCAACTTACAACCATTCCCTTTAGTCTTCTCATTGCTGGCACGGTGGAAGGGACCAACTCCCACCTCTCTACAACTCCTTTCATGTAGTTGTAGAGAGCCATGAGGTCACCCCTGAGCCACCTCTTCTCAAGGCTAAACAAATTTGAATCCCTCAGCCATTTCTCATACGTGTTCTAGGCCTTTTATGAACCTCATTGTCCTTCACTGGACATGCTCCAGCACCTCAGTGACCCTTTAAAGTGAGGGGTCCAAAACTGAACACAGTATATACTCAGTCATTTGATTATATGACTAAATATTACAGGTTAACTAATATATTGTCCAGTTTAAACTCATCGCAAATGTAATTTACTAATTCAGAAGGGTACCAAGCATGCAAGTCCTTCTACTGCAATGTTAAATATTTGTCACAATTTCAACAAAGTAAGACATAGCAGGGCAAATGTATATTACTGCATTTTCATTCGCACACAAAACTTAGGAGAGATGAATCTATATCAGAATGTTGAATGAGACCATCAACTTAAAAATATTCAAAGCAGGAACTGCTGAGCATCACCTACCCATCCAAAGAAGCAGCAATCCCAGCAATCAAAAGCAAGCAGAGCTCTCCCAAATCATTGACTCAGCCAGCTAACCACTGATTTAATGCCAGAGCTGAATTCCAGCCTGAAACTCATAGCCCAGTCATAAATCTAATAAAAGTAGGCATCTAGTGTTTACAGTAAATAAAACTGGTTTGTATTCCACCCTGCTACATTTTGTTTTCAACAAAAAAAAAGTTTTCTGAAAACATTTGTTTTTAACAAAATATTCAGAGAAGCATTCTCTTCCACTTCCAACACATCACCATAAAGAATCAGTTCTGACCATTTAATTTATGAGGTTTTCAGAAAGAAAACATACTTTAATATTTCTCTCTGAATGCCCTTATAAGATCAAGTTTGATGGTGTTCTGATCTCCTGCTAAGTGAATCACATTAATAAGCTAAGCAAATTAATTTCCCATATGCATATCAGCAGAAGGCCTTACACTCATTATCAAATTTCCTGTGGCTAACTACTGCAGAACAGCAAGCTGAAAGGAAATCTAGTGTGGTAAGAATAAGAAAGTAGAAGCTATCTGTCTCTCCAAAACATCAGTTATAAATTTAATGACTGTCTCAGGCAGTCAGAATTTTTCCTATGGGACTTGCCAGATTCAACAGCTTTCACCATAGCTATGCTACACAGAGTGTTCACGTATGCCAAAGTAAATTTCCCTGCAGTTAGGTGTAGTTAACTCTGTTTCGTTGAATGAGCCAGTAAGTCATCAAATGAAAACCACAAAAATGTTTGATATTTTGGAAAACATCTTCTTGCATTGTAAAGATCTGTCATTTCTTTGAAATTGGATGGTAGGAGAAATTGCAGAAGTACCTTTAGAAATGTGTTAATCTTACTTTGCTACCTTCATGCAGCTGAAACTACTGCTATCCATTATTAGAAGCTAATCAACGTGCCTGATACATAAGGCTCTCCCAGTAGGTGAACTGGGGAAGCCCATGATGCCATCATTAACAACCTGACTGAGGCAGCAATCTCAGTAATCATTCTGGAGAGAATCCAGAGATGTCAGCTTAGTTACATGGTGAAAAATCCCAAGTACAGCTCTTTAAATCAAGGCTCCTCCAGTTACTTTAAATACTATTAAAATCTGACCTTTTGATTCCTTTCTGGGGAAAAAAAGAAGGGGAATGACACAGTGAACTAAATAATTGAGACCATTTTTTTCTTAAGAAATAGTTTCATAAACAACTCTCATTCCTAGTTCTAGAGTTTTAAGATAATTTTTAAATGGCAGTTACTCCTGTACGTTGTTTGGCATATTAGGATCACTTGCTGTTCACATGTATTAGTGTATTTAACTACTAAAATAATACAAAGTTCTGGATATTATTTTCGCTGCAATTGTTTTTCACCAGCAAGTATAATAAACAATTTTACATAACCAGTAGTACTGCTAGTAGGGGTTGCAGACTGTTCCCCATTTGCTCAAGCAGAGCTCACCTCTATCACATTTAGAGAAATTGCAAGGAAAAATGTGATTCTAAACATCAATCAAATTAGCAGCAGACAGTAAAAACAGATTGCTGGCAGTACAATGCAGAGAGCTCCACACCACTGACCCAAAGAAGGTAAGTATCAACTCTCACACTGATATCTAAAATAAGGGACACTACATGCTGCTCTGTGTCTAAACAATACTTTTTGGTGATAAGATGACTCAATTTTTACACCAAAGCAGTATCTATCCTAGCCTTTACTGACAGGTTTTTATCACTACAGCAGATTTTCTTAAAATTTATTTGTCCTACTAAGCCATTGGGAAAAAATAAAAGGCAAAAAGCCAAATGTTAAGGACAAAATAGAGGCTGTTTTATGTAGGTGTGATCCAAACCTACTCATAACTACCAGTTACAAAGTCAGTGGCATAAACATTTCTTCATATATGCAAAAATAATTAGGCATTAATTCTAAGCCAAGAATAATTAGAGATCTAACATAGAACTATTTTGGGAAATTATCCTCTGTCAAATTCTGAAGATACCAATAGCTTTAAGAGTTCTGTGTGATTTTCAGAATCATCTGTGCGTTAAACAGATGAAGTCACAAACATTATAATGCTGGCACCAGCTATCTTTCCCAGTTTTCAGTGTAGCAGAGCTCAGTTGACAATGTGGCCTTCAGTATCTGGAAGTTGACAGAGGCAACCCCTTATCAGTATCCTCAAAGGAATGCTGGAAGTCACTAGTCATGCAGGAGACAGTATCATAAAGAAAACAAATGCTATACTCCAGCCATATTTAGTCATCAGATGAAAACTAAACTAAACAGAAGGGAGATAAATGAAAACATGAGAATGTGCATGTCAACTGACCAAAAATGTTGCAATTGCAACTCACTTTCCTGCCCTAAACATATATACTTAACACAGCAAGAAAATATTTTAAAAGCAAGTTCTAGATATACATGTAGCCTGAGCCAAAC